ACGTCCCCCTCGTCCCCCCCCCCCCCCGGTCCTTTTCCCAGTAATTTCCTACTCACCAGTGGCTCTGAGGGTCAAGTGAGGTCTTGTTTGTGTTGCTGTGATTCTTCCAGTGTCCTCCTGATTCCCCCTTTCCCTTGGCTTCCATGAGCGCCTTCAATTTTTATGCCTCCAAGGGATGAGTAGGGTTTCCCCCAACTGCTGGGTCTGTGTGCCACTTTCTGAGTTGCCCTGCCTATAACAAGTGGATTTCCAAACAGCATACTCTGTCGAGAGCTGTGGTTCATTTGCGTGGCATGCAGAAGGTCTCAGGTTCAATCCCCACCGTCTCCAGGTTGTGGGTGATGTGGAACAACCTCTCACTGAGACCTGCTGCCAATCGGAGATGACAATATCCACCTTAGTAGACCAATGGTTTGTATCAGTATAAGGCCACTTCCTAGGACTCCACCCTTTTCTTCAGTGACCTAGCGAATAGTTCTGTGGGTCTCACTGGGGTCTCCAGCTTTGAATTCAATATAATTTTCCTTGCAGAGTGGTAACTGCAGGCATAATTGAAATTTCATCCAGCTAGTATTTGGTAGGAAACGATGAGGGCTTGTCTAAAGAATTTTCAGCATCATGGCTAGCATTTGTCACTGGTTCTTAAGAGTCCACAGGTGTTAGGTGATGACGTCAGTGTTCTGCATCACCTGTAATTTGCCTACAGAGTTCTCGTTCCTAAAGTCCTGACATGTGGCATGATGGTGTGATGGCCTCACATAAAAGTGAGCATGATGTTGTCAGGTAGCCCTGTCATAAGTCTGGAATGTAGAGGGGTGCCCTCCCATTTTCTGTCTCAGCTCTCCCTGGCTCACCAACTGTTTGCTATCTTATGCTTGACCTTGTAGATGCTCCAGCTGCAGTTTTACTCGGCTGGGAAAGTTAACGGCTTTTTGCTTTGCCTGCTTGCTTTGCCTGCGTGCGCATTATGTATCCATTGGCTTATGCTTACCGGGGGGATGTTTGATTCTAGTATAAGTCAGAGGCCTTTGTATAGGTGGCCATTCCAGACACAAGCTGTAGACGTGTCTCTAGTACTGGATTTACCCATAAACAGTTATCTTCTTATGAAGCCCTGTGTTGTGTAACCTAACTAAGGACCCTGACAGATGTTCAGAGAAGAAGCATCAGCAGCAAGAACAAAGGCATGATGTTACTGGGGCTGGACCAGGCTTGTGGACCATGGCCTCACCTGAATCTTAGCTGGGACGGCTAGCCTGTGGCTTCAGTGGGGCTATCGGGGGCTCTGCCCCCTTCCTTAAAGGGCCAGCCCCACAAGATTTCCTTCTGAAAATGTTTTTTAAAATTATTTCAAAAACATTTTTAAAAGGCTGTAACTAACCTCACAAACTTCAGCTGGTCTGCACTGCTATGAAGGGCTATATGTAATATCAGGGAATTCCTCCTCCTGCTGCTGCTGCTGCTGCTGCTGCTGGAGACTTGTGACTCCTCTTAGCATTTTCACACGAGAGTTTCGGGTCTTTGAAACATGCTGTCAGCATTAGTGTGGCAATCGTCCACTGAGCTCAGCAGGATTTCCTTAAGAGTAAATGATGTAAAGGCTGTAAAACTGAAATCCCTACGCAGTCACATGGGCTAAAGTCCCTCAGTGGTGTTTTTTTGTTGTGTGAACAAGCAGAGGCAACTGGGAGGAGGCTGTGAACCATCCCCGTGAGGGGGGAAAGGCAGGGATACACGAAAGAAATCCGGTTTCACACTGACTTCCTCGGGCTGAGGATGCCTTCCCCTACCCTCCAGCTCTCCATTAGGGAGTCCCCAGTGTGCCTTCTTTTTCCTGCTCCGCAGAAGCTTATTTTTCACTCCCACAAGGCAAGGCCTGCTCCGTGTCTCTCCCCATAACCATTGCCCAGGTCCCGGATGTCATTCCAGGTGGGACTGTTAAGCAAGAGGCTGGAGTCGGTGAGGAGCCGAGAAGCACCTATGAGATTCTGCCTCGCTTTGCTCCCCCTTAGCGCCGGCCTCTTTTTGAGCCTTAGTGAGGGAAGGAGGGAGGGAGGGTGAGGACAACAGGCTGTGCTCCCACTGGCTTGCCCCCTTCATGATCTTTGTTCCCTCGGGTACACTCAGGGGGCCTATTCAGGGACGCCTGCCTGAATCCTCCACATTAGCCCCACCAGCCCCACCAAAAATCCTTTTGTCCTACAAGCAGAGGTCATTTCGGGGGGGAACGCGGGGGAACACAGTTCCCCCGGGTGAGGTGCAGTGGGGCAGGGCACATGACGAAGCCCCGCCCCCTGTTTCCGGCCGCCCCGCTTCCAGCCCTCATTCAGCCAGGAGGAGGCAGGAGAAGAGGGAGGGTAAGTTGCTTCCTCCCCGCCTCTCCCCACCCCTGCCTGCCTGGGGCCAGGGAGGGCCTTTGGTGGGGCTTCCTCGCACTCCCGCTGGCCTTGCAGATCCACCGCCGGGCCCCTCATGTCAGGGGGTGTGGCATATGCTAATGAGTTATGCTAATGAGCTCCCCTAGCTCTTTTTCTACGAAATGACCCCTGCCTACAAGCCACAAAATCCTGGCAATGGGGCTGCGGGTGGGGTAGGGTAGGCCGTTTGTAAGACCAGGATTTTCAGAGTCGGAAGCTCAAATGGGAAGAGGAAGTATTTATGCTTCCATCTGCAGTTTTAGAAGGTAAATACAAAAGAAAACCTTATGAGTGAAGATTGTGTATCTGTGGAGAGGGGAAGGTAGAAACGAGGGAACACGTGATGTTCGAATGTAAAATGTATCAAAGGCTGTAACCCCGATTTGTTCTCGATTTCCTGGGAGAAATGAAAGATTTTACCTAGATAAGTTGCTGGCTGACAAAGAGCAGGAAACTACTTTAAACATGGCAAAATTTGCCATGCAGGCAATCAAAATCCGGAGACAAGTTATTAGCAGTTAGATAGTGAATACTGTACTTAAATAGAGTCTTTAGTTATCTAATAATATTTTAATTTTATTCCTAACATTTTAATATTTGATATTCTGGATAGCGTCTGGATGCATTTTACTGTTTTACTGTTTTACCAGCTGATGTCTTTTCGTTTCTTTTACGTATTTGGTCAAGATACCTGATTTCCTACAGTGCGTGATCCTAAACAGCTTTCTAAGCAAGAATCTACCCAGGACCAATGCTTGCGTTCCTCATTCTCTCACAGGTTTATCTCACAGACAAAAATTTCAGGCGGGAGTGAAAAATCAAAGGTCGGTTTGGGTGGGGGCAAAAACTTTAAGAAACCAACAACGTTTAACAGAACTTAATTTTTAAAAAAGATACCTCAGTTTAAATAAAATATTTTTCCCTTTCCTGTCAGGTCAAACGTAAATATTTGTGTCTAAGTCAGTCAGTAACCACTGATATCCAAATTCTTCCTTGGAAATTGGATGTTCCAACACTCAAACATTCTTACCGCAGGGTGAAATGTTGATTTCTGACATGAAATTTCAGTTCTGAGTGGATGTCTTGAAGTGGAAATTTGCCATTCTGACAGGCCAAATCGTTTCAATGTTATTAGCACTGGTGCTGCATGGAATATAATATGCCTTATTTTGAGCCCGGAGAAAAATACTCTGTTTAGAGTAATCCATGAAAGAAAGAAAAAAGATAACCCCCAAATTTCTATATTTCTGATTAGAGATCAGCAGATTTCTCCCATTTCATTCTTTTGATGTCCCATTCCTCTTTTATTCCCGTTTAATGAGAAAGGTTTCTAGAATTAATTCTGGAAATGGGTTGTGCACAGTACTCCCTCTAAGCTGTGGAGTCTTGTGAGCAAAAATCCTACTTTGTGAGCTACTGGCATTAAAGTTGTGTGAGCGAGCTATTTGGCTACGGCATGAATTAGTTTGCTCTGGAGCCACCCTTCCTGGGCTAAGACAAAAATGTGTGAGCCGGAGGCTAAAAAACTGTGAGCTAGCTCACACTAACTCAGTTTAGAGGGAACACTGGTTGTGCATTGCTTTATTCTGCTTCCTCTTCTTTGTATTGATTTGTTTCCCCCACTCCCCAGCAGTACCAGTGCAGATGAACACATGTGAAAACGTCAAGGGCATCATCTTGCTGGGAAGGTACACCTGACTGCATCAAGATTTTTTGCCTGCAGTGCTTTGCTGATGCACCCATGTGCTCTTGCACAGTGGTGCAACACCACACAGAAGGTGCCATGTATTATAGTCACATCAAGATTCCTTTTTATTTTTTGCCCCTTTACCAATGCCTGTCTGTATACCTGTGTGTATGTGAGTGGGGGAATGCCGTGCCTCCACTGCTCTATACAAAATTCAGATATAAAAATAAAAGAGAGAGAATCCCTAATGTGCCTGTTCTATTTGAGAAGCAAAAGCAAGTAATTCAGAACTTCCAAAATCTGGGGAGATGTTTGGGTTAAAAGACTTTGAGGAGGATCTCTCTAATACACATACACATGCCAACCCAGATACTCACCTGCTGTCCCCGAGTAGTCAGCCACGTTGACTGGGTAGCCATCTTCCTCAGGGTCAACTGAGAACAAACCTACAGAAAAAGTTCCATAGTGGGCATAAGCGGTGCCGTTGTCAAAGTCTTCAAGGTCAATGCGGAGCTCGTAGCTGGCCTGCGTGGTCAAGGCATGGATCCGCTTCAGCCCTAGAACAGCAAAGGAAGGGAAGAGTAACCCTCATGGTGTGTGTGAACCATCTTTTACAGATGGGGAGAGGCAGATGCATGGACGGACGTACTATATTTTTATCCCATATATCTTTTTTTTTCAGACAAACAACCAACTTGAGGACAAAATCATGACTGTGTGAAGCTGACTTATAGTGAATCAGACTCTTGGTCCATCAAAGTCAGGTTTGTTTACTCAGACTGGCAGTGGCTTCTCCAGGGTCTCAGGCAGAGGTCTTCCACATCAACCACTACCTGATCCTTAACTGAAGATCCTGGGGATTGAACCCAGGACCTTCTGTATGCCAAGCAGAGGCTCTTCCGCTGAACCATGGCCCATCCCCCTGGTGAACTGGATCCCGGTCTGACAGAAGGGTGTCTGGCTGCTTCCAGCTTTTCTCTCTCCAACGCCTCCATCGATGGCAACTGGAAGGTGGCCACCACCTTCCCTCAGCAATGCTGGATGAACAATTCCCTTTTCAGAAGACCCAGGAATGTTTGCCATGTCTCCAATTCAGTTTTAGGAAATCCAGGTTGTGTTCTCAAGTCTTTGTTTTTATAACTTTTGTGATCATGGTAATCAAAGAATGTTGGGACTTGTCATTGTGCAAGAGAGGACAGGTAATTTCATCATGGAAGCCGGAGGAATCTTTAAATTAAGCTAGTGTCAAACCCATTTCCATTGGCTGTGTCTTTAAATTTCTCTTATCACAAAAGAAAAATATAGTTTTGGGCCAAGCTTGCCATTACCCTGCTGGGGATGGGGGATCCCCCCCCCCCCATTAGTGGGCACTCTCCTGTTGCCATTCAGCCGGCTGGCTGAGGAGGGGGGAGTACTTCCATAACCTTGTAAAAATCTCAGAATAAATATTTTAAATTATATGTAAACTATATTTTAAGAATAATTTAAACATTATAAGAGAAAACAGAATCAAGTCAAATTTCACCCCCCCTTCCCACTATATTGGTCCTCGGGAGAACAGGTCTACCCACCCCTTTCCACTATATTGGTAGACTTGGCCTCATGAGAACAGGTCTACCCACCCCTTTCCACTATATTGGTAGACCTGGCCTCTGGAGAACAGGTCTACCCACACCAGTCCACTACATTGGTAGACCTGGTCTCCAGAGAAAAGGTCTACCCACCCCTTGACACTATATTGGTAGACCTGGCCAGGGCTATTTTTGGACAGGAACACACAGGAACGGAGTTCCGGCTGGCTCCCAAGTTGGCCATGCCCAGCAGGAGCGCATTAGCATAATAGGCCACACCCAACAGCAGAAACTCATTAGGATTGGCTACATTAGGGGTGTGTGGCCTAACATGCAAAGGAGTTCCTGCTACAAAAAAGCCCTGGGTTTTGACAACAAACAAGGTAAACAGAATAAGAAGCAAAAGGTGGGTGTGGCTGGATGACCACACTTCTGGTAACATGGGGGCGTGGCCTAATAGGCTAATGAGCTGTGCTGTCAGGGGCGTGTGTGTACAAAAAAAGCCCTGGACCTGGCCTTGGACCGTCACCTTGTGCTGAGCCTTAGAAAACATACCAGCAAAAGGGGGGGGGGCCTCTTGCAGTCTGCTTTGGTTTTGTTTTTTCTAGTGAAAAATGACAACCAGCATTACAGGTCAAGTATAACAGAGGAGAAACAATCACTGTCAGAACCCTGCCTAACCTCACAAACAGGAAGTTGCTTAAATGTTATCGACCTGCCCAAACTACTTATTCAAATACTTATACTGCCGGTGCCTTTCCTCATCCCCCCCCCCCCACACTGCCTGTTAAGTTTTGTGGACCAGCACCCCCTAGCGCAGCTTAGCGGGAACTGTGGTCCTGAGATGCTGACATTACTTCCTGTGTGCCTGGAAGTGATATCAGCATGTTGCCAGCAATGTCATTACATTGCTGGTGAGGGTCCCTGAAACTAGAAGGTCCCCCCACTGGTTGCCAAGACCTGCCTGGCAACCCTGTTGGGCCTTCCTACTGGGAGTCGTGGGCCCTGCAGGGAATTATGGTGACGTAGTTTGAAGGGGACCCAAATGTTAGCCTTTTGACACAGCTGACGTGTTGTCATTGTGTAGGAGATGGGAGATTCTAGAAGAGACTGTGTAACGGTGGGGTAGCAAAACCTTCCGGATCTCTTTTCAGCCTCTTCAAGAACTGGCATGCTGGCCGGCCTGAGGAGATCTCTCCCTGTTTACCATTCAGTTTGACCTCCCAGTTCAAACCTCTGTTAAAAGCCATTTTCGGTGAGTCCCTTCACCCAGATTCCAAGAGACACGATTTCATTGTCTGTCAGTCAGGATTGGGAAAGCGTGCGAGTTCTCCTGTCTGTTTTATTATCTCTTGATTAGAAGGCGATTTAGTTAAACATTTTAGGAGTGGTCATCAGCAATGAGGAAAAGGCTGGGTTCTCTCCTCTCCTCTGTTCTCTTCTGTTGACTAGCAGGTTAGGCTGGGATTGCAGAAGTGACTTGGACGGGCAATCCTTTCGGGAGCATCTCGGCCTTGAGGCTTCTCTTTTTCTCTTGTTCTTTCTTTTTAAAGGACAGGCTCCCAAAAAGTGTTTCTGGATGTTTCTGTCCGAGGTGCTGCTCGCCAGCACGAAGCTGATTCACAAATGAGATGCAGCGCAGTTGCTGCCGAAATTTTGCCTTCAGCCAAATTCTAATCAATTGTGGGGGTTTCTCCTTGAGGTTAAACATCTGAGGAATGTCAAGGAATGCCAAAAGAACTCTGCTACGGTTAGTGAAATTTCTCTCTGGGGATTCCTTGCTTCCTTACATACAGTTGTTAGGTTAGATCCAGTTGGCTTTTCTTCTCTCAAAAAGGGTAGGAAGGGTTCCTCTTTGACCACTGAAAAAGCTATGCTGGGGATTATGGGATCTCCTTGGACAAAAGTTGAAAAGGGAGGGGACTGCAGGGAGAGGGTTACTTAGGGGAGATCATGTGAGAAAATCTGGCAGGATCCAACCGGATCCATGCTTGTCATTAAGGGTCACACTGAATTCCAGTGTAAGGAGGCCACATCGGGGGAAGGACTTGGCCTCTCTGCCCTATTGTTGGCCCTCCAGAGGAACTGGTTGGCCACTGTGTGAGACAGGATGCTGGACTAGATGGAAAAAGACAAAGAAGAAGAAGAGATTGGATTTATACCCCGCCCTTCACTACCCAAAGGTGTCTCAGAGCGGCTTACAAACTCCTTTCCCTTCCCCTCCCCCACAATAGACACCCTATGAGGTAGGTGGGGCTAAGAGAGCTCTGACAGAAACTGCTCTTTTTCAAGGACAGCTCTTATCAGAACTATGGCTTGTCCAAGGTCATCCAGCAGGTGCAAGTGGAGGAGTGGGGAATCAAACCCGGTTCTCCCAGATTAGAGTCCGCACACTTAACCACTACACCAAACTGGCTCAGATGGACCACAGGTCTGATCCAGCAGGGCTCTTCTGAAGTTCTTTTCAGGGGAAGGCCTCTATGCCCTGTTGTTGGTCATCCAGAGGAACTGTTTGGCCACAGTGTGAGACAGAATGCTGGACTAGATGGACCACTGGTCTGTCCCAGCAGGGCTCTTCTTATGTTCTTATCAGGGAAAGGCCTCGGCCTCTCTGCCTTGTTGTTGTCTCTCCAGAGGAACTTGTTGGCCACGGTGTGAGACAGGATATTCTTATGTTCTTATGAAGGCCTCGGCCTCTATGCCCTGTTGTTGGACCTCCAGAGGAACTGACTGGCCATTGTGTGAGATGGGATGCTGGACTAGATGGACCACTAGTCTGATCCAGCTTATGTTCTTATGTTACCAAGAGCCTACTCCATATTAATCATTCTGTGCAATCTATGTCACTCTGCTTACTTGGAATCATTGCCCAGTCTTTAAATAATGGCTCACATAATACCCCCCCCAGAGCTGTAACAGATCAAGATGGGCATACCTAGCCAGTGCTCTCCGGTGAGCTTCCCAAATCCATCCCGATAAGCTTCCCATCCACGGAAAAAATTCACAGAGCCATCCTCACGCCGCTGGAAGACCTAGGAAGACACAATGCAACCGAGAGTTCATGAGAGAGATGGAGAGGAAACTGCACAGCACGGTGCTTATCCAGGGCGAACCTCTGTCATTTACCCTCGTGCTTCTTCCATTCATCGCAGCTGTGATCTCGCTGGCAGAGCAGTGGAGCCACTTTATTAGGTCTGAGTGCAAAATGCAAATTAAAAACCCTTCAGATTAGTTAATTACCTTGAAGAGGCTGAGCACAGAGAATTCTGAAAAGGCTGCCTGTCATGATTAATAGGTGGCTGAGGCCACAACTGGACCTTACAATGTAGCTGCTGCTGAAAAGGGCAACTGCGCGTTGGCTTCCCCTTCTTGTTCTGCAATTGGTATACTTTGCCCATGTCCCGGCATCTTGATGTTGCCCCACTCTGTGTTAGCTGCTGGTGCAGAGATGCATCATGTGGAGACATCAGGACAGAGACAAGTTATACTAGATATTACGCAGGGTGAGGGGGAACTAGATGCACAGCTTCTGTTTTCAGCGGTAACAGTGCATATAAGTGTTGGATATTTTTTTTTGCTGTTAAGTCACAGACAATTTATGGAGATCCCACAGGGTTTTCAAGACAAGAGACATTCAGAGGTGGTTGGCCACTGCCTGCCTCTGTGTAGCAACCCTGAACTTCCTCGATGGTCTCCCATCTTTATAGAAAGTGCAGGATAAAAATTAGGGAGGTAATAAGAAAAGCTGCTGTTTCTTTGGGTTCCACAAGCCAGTAGTAATGGAGATTTTAAGGTTCATGTGTGGGGGACACCTTACCTGAGGACATTCCAGCAGACCTCCCCACCCCACAGCCATAACCGTATATTTCTAGGATGCAAACCACCTGCTGAGGGATGGCTCTTTAAACGGAGGAGCAACCCCGACTGGAATGTGTCTTTCCGCTAAACACGATTCTTTGTGATCTTCCCCAACATTATTTCTGAATTGAAGGCAGACAGAACTATAATTTCCACCAACTCTAGCAATCCAGGAAGCTCTGAGAAAAAAGCTGGGATTTATACCCCACTTTTCTCTACCTGAAGAAATCTCAGAGGGGCTGACAATCACCCTCCCTTCCTCTCCCCACAGCAGACATCCTGTGAGGCAAGTGGGGCGGAGAGAGCTCTGAGAGAACTGTGACTGGCCCCCAAGGTCACCCAGCAGGCTTTGTGTGGAGGAGGAGGGGTGGGGAATCAGAACTGGCTCTCCAGATTAGAGGCCCTTGCTCATAACCACTGCACCACGCTGGCTCACGGTACCGATAGCACAGAGGTCCCCAACACAGTGCTGCCCACGGGTGCAACGGTGCCTACTGACACCTTCTCTGGCACCGCAACATGTGTTTAGAAAGTGGGTGGAGCAATTTGGGGCTCTTGTTCAGCCGGGCTTCTGATTGGCCACTGGAGATCAGCTTGTCTGTGCAGAATAAAATAATGGTTCAGCTGCACCTGCTCACTCCTCTTTCTAGTGTACTGCATGTGTGAATCAGATGCCCCCATGTGCTCCCCATGGCTCATTTCTCAATGACTGAGTGTCGTGCAGCAGCAGAACATATGAACCCCCCCCCCCAAGTGTCTTATTTGTGGCAGCTCTGCCACCAGTATTGGCCATTTCACAGACATGCGAGGCACCACTTGGTGCTACAGTCCTATAAACCAATGAACTTGCACGAGAGAATCTGCCTTTCATTTTGAGACTCAAAACTTGGCATTAAAAAAGAGTTGTACCATCTTGATTCTCTCAAACAACGGAATCACTCTCCCCCCCCTTTGTGTGTCTTAAATCCATCTTGTAAAGTGCCTTCCTTGGCATTTTTCATGTTTGATTAAACCTTGATCTATCGACAGGGATCGAGAAAAATGCAGTGGCCTTCCAGGTCTGACCACCTGCTGTTAATTAAGCATCTATCTCTTGGTTTAATTGCATTGAATGCGGCTAAGCCCACTGTCCCTGGAAAGGACCCAGCGAAAGCCTTCCAAAACCTCTGAGGGCCCAGATCCCAGGTTTCACCTGGCTTGCTCCCTGAGTAGGGTTGCCAGGTCCTTACCTTCTGCCAGAAGGGGGCTCCAGGCTTCTCCCTGGATATTCTCGCATGCACGCGAAGTGCGCACATTGCGATTATGTCACCCAGAAGGGATGTCATTGCACTGGGCACGTGGTGCAGGGGATGCTCTAGCATTTGGTCCAGGCCCCGTGGCCAGGATTTTGTTATTCAGGGGGCCTTTGAATAAATCAGGGGGCACTGACGTCACAAAATAAAAGTAAAAATTTAAAAACTCACTTTTGCATTGTTCGCACTCTGCTTGCCTGCATGGGGAAGCAAGCCACGCTTGGGGAAGGGACGGTGGTGGGGAGTCCTCCAGGTGGCCCAGAGAGTCAGGGGGCCTGGGTGTTGGACGGAAGAGTCAGGGGGCCTTGGCAGGAAGTCAAGGGGCCAGGCCCCAAAATGCCCCACTATAGCTACAGGCCTGATTCGGCCCAAAGCTCTATGGTCACCATAGAGTTTTTAGCCAAATGCTAGAGTGTTTCGTATGATGATGTCAAAACAGAGCTAAAATAAGAAAATCTGTTTGTATAACAGAACCACTGCAACTGAACTTGACTGACGACTGTTGAGTTCATTAATAATGAGGGTTGCCAACTGTCGCGGAATTCGGGCCTGGATTGAGCCTCAGTCCTCTGTTAACCTAAGTTATTTTAATTTCTATAGTAGAGTAGAATCTTGGGTTCTGCTTCCCAGGAGGCTTCAGGACTCTGCTAAGTGCTGTGGCCCTCTGGTGCCGATAACCCTGTACATGACTTTGGCCTTACACAACGTTTGCCTTCTGGCACGTCACCTAACAGTTCGAAAGCAAGAAACTGCAAGTAGATAAATAGGTACCACCTCGGCGTCTAGTCATGCCGGCCACATATCGGATTTGACTGGCTTTCGAGCAAGGGAAACCTTTACCTAAATAGGGTATCTGTAGCTAGCTTCCTTGACTCTCTGAGTCACCCTAGCTTTCTCTTGACTTTCCTTGACCTTCTTGAAGCCAGAGATAGGAGGAGGAAGAGGAGGAGGATGTTGGACTTATACCCCCACCCTTTACTACCCAAAGGGGTCTCAGAGTGGCTGACAATCTCTTTTCCTTTCCCCTCCCCACAACAGGCACCCTGTGAGGTAGGTGGGCTGAGACAGTGCTTTTGAGAACTGCCCTTGAGAGAACAGCTCTGAGAGAACTAGTGACTGACTCAAGGTCACACCATCAGCTGCATGTGGAGATAGAAAGGGCTGAGCTTTGTTGAGTACGTCAGGTATACATCAGATGCTTAGCAACAGACTTGACTGACAGTTACATTAGCTCCTATGGGTAGAAAAAGGTACTTAATGTCTGAATTTAGTCTTGTTCGTGGTTGTTCTGGCCAACCACCCTCCGTTATGGGTCTTGACAGATTAGGGTTGCCAAATCCAATCTTCACCCCCAGCGGGGGACTTTGGGGGGCATTGCTGGAGGGGGCGGGGCATCCCTGACGTGATGATGTAACGTTGGGGACATCCCCCCCAATCTTCCAGCGGCGCAGGCTCCCTGCCCTTAAAGGGGCCCCTTTAAGTGCACAGAGCTGGTGTTCCCCACCCCGCAGACATCAGGCACACGGGAAACGCCGGCTCCTTGCATTTAAAGGGGCCCCTTTAAGAGCGCAGAGCCGGCATTCTTCCCGGAACTCTGCGGAGATCGGGCACATGGCCCGCAGCCACTCCTCTCCCTCCTCTCGCTCAAGAGAGAAGGGAGGGGGTGGCTGGGGGTGTTGGGGCTTGGGGGCGAGGCTTCCCCCAACGGCCAGCTGGCCGGCAGCAGGTAGAAGCCCCCCAAAAGCGGGGGACCCCTGTCAAACCGGGGGGGGTTGGCAACCCTATGACAGACCTACTAAGGATATCCTTTATAGAACTTCAAGTGCACTATTTATGTATTGGGGTTGTGTTGAAATATTCTGTGTTGAATATTGAAATGCCACAAAGTGTTTTCTATCTTAAAAGTGTGTAATGGAATAAATTGAGTTTTGGTTTAGAACAACTCTCTCTTTCTCTCTCTCTCTGCAACTGGGAACTCCTCCAGCTTCTCTCCCTCCCCTATGGACACCATAGTGGGGATGGGAGTCCATGAAAAGGTTCCTGCACCCCTCATTTCCCCAATGCCAACCTCCAGGAGGGGCCTGGGACAACAGCTGATCTCTAGACTGTAAAGATCAGTTCCTCTGGAGGAAATGGTGGCTTTGGTGGATGGACTATACGCTACTACGTCCACGTAGGGTTCTCTCTTCCAATGCTCCCTCTTAGCTTTGGGAGTCCTGTGAGCAAAAATCCTACTTTGTGAGCTGCTGGCATTAAAGCTTTGCGCAAGCAATTTGGCTGCTGCATCAATTAGTTTGCTCTGGAGCCGTCCTTCCTGAGTGGAGACAAAAACCTGTGAGCTGGAGGCTAAAAACTGTGAGCTAGCTCATGCTAACTCAGCTTAGAGGGACACACTGCTGTCTTCTCCCCAAATGCTGCCTTCCCCCAAATCTCCCAGAATTTCCCAAGCTGGAGTTGGCAACCCTATTAATAGGTCATAAAATGTCTGCATCCCAAACCCTGGTTCTTGCGAGCCCTTTCTTAGGAAAAGACACATGCAAGGCCTTGCAAGAAGTAAGAAATGGAACACCCACCCTCCATGACTTGTTAGTGCGCTGGAATAAATTGCTGCACGGTTCACGCTTGGATGACTGGCAGCTGTTCACTTCTATCATTTCCCTTTCTGTCAAGCTTCTCGAATAAGACCTTCAGTCCCACAAGAATCTTTGCCTGCCACCCTAGCATCCCACCTGCCCCTCCGATATTCCTTCACTTGGAGGTTTGATTTTCTTTTTCAAACAGATGTGTTTGGTTCTGTGCTGAGCTATTCGGACTCCCAGAACAATCCGCTGCAGACCTCTGCCTTGCTGGGAGGCGTCTGGGGGATTTGTAGATCCTTCCCA